TGAGAGTCAAAGTGAAAGTCAAAGCGAAAGTCAAAGCGAGAGTCAAAGTGAAAGTCAAAGCGTAAGTCAAAGTCGAAGGAATTATCTGTGTTGATCAATTAATGAATTTGATTGGTCAATTGGCACATCAGGCAGGCACTCTTAATAAATAATCGGCAAAAATTTTAGCGTACAGTACGTACAGTACAGTACGTATAGTACTGTACGTGGCACATCACTATGCCTTAGTGTCAATCTTATGTTGACTGGTTAAACAAACATTTTAGCCATAAAATTCAGTTGAAATTTTAAATTCTTAAGAATTTTAAATATGTAAAATGAATTGGAATATCATGTATAAAGCAAATAAAAACTTTTAATAAAACATAATTTCATTAAAGTTTTAAAATATTTAATGAATAAATTCTATTTAACTTGGGTTAAACTAATTTTTCAGTTTTGTTGATTATTTTGCACATTCTTACTCAAATTATGCACCTTTTTACATGTTTTTCTCTTCTTTCTAACTGGAATAGTATGAGGATCTGAATTCTCTTTATTTTTGGAAGTGGACAATTTTTGTCTTGCGCTACCTCTTTCCGTTTGCGATGTTTAATCGATTCCACCTGAACCTGTATATGCGAACCACTCTTGACACGAACTATCAGATCTAAACTTCTATGGAAATCATAAAGATAGGAAGTTAACCGGGGGATAGATTTTGACTTGGCTGCATTATAACAAAAGCTATCTTTTCTTTGAGTTACTTATAATTCTTCTGATCAATATAGTTTTATTTCCTACATTTCAGATACTTTTTTGTCTAATGCAATTTGTAGCGTTTGATCTGCATTTTGATAGTCAGATTTAACTTCTTCTAAAAATGTAATAAACTCAGACGTATCAATTTCTCTTATTTCTTCAATTTCTTCACTTGCATTTTTAGGTTCTCTAAAAAATAGATTACACAATTAATGTATAAGTTATGTTTAAAAAAAAAATTAATACGTAAATAAATAAAAAATTGCATACGCCCAATTAGTAATCATATTGCTTTGTGTCTCCATCTCCGTACATAAAATTTCTTGATTTTGTAAAACAGATTGTGTATCGGTATGTAAAGATGCATAAAAAGAATCATCTTCAGCAACATAACCTGAAGAAGCATGATTTTTTATTGTAAATAAACTGAAAAATATCAATCATAATTTAAATATATATACTTACCAAAGGCTATATAAGCATACATTTTACGGTCAATCAATGTCAACGAAGAAACAAAATTAAACATTGAAATATAATACTTCATTGAAACCGCACCCTGGTGCTTGCAAGAAGCACCTGACATTTCAACATAACATGTACAAGAACCAATTTCACTGTTTACAATGTAAATTAGATTACTATTTTCCTTTGTACTCGGTACTAAGTATTCATTTGTTATATGAATTGCATCTGCATTTACTGTATTCTATCCAGGACATAAAAACTGTTTGGTAATGCACAAAGTTCCTGGATGTCTGTGTGCAATTGCAAGTAATCTCCTCTTATAAAATCTCTCCATATTAGTTGTTATGAATTGGAATACTTGAACAGAGTTATAGGCCCGTGTTCTTGCAAAAATAATGTCCTTCATAATGCTGAAACTTCGTTCAATGTAGTTGTTAGTGTTGTTACCACATATAGGCAAACCTAATCGGAAGGACATAGCCCAAAATTGTTGACGTTCCCATAAAAGTTCAGCATGATGTTGTAGTTGAGGATAATAATAAAATTGTTGTTTAAAACTGTCATAATGCATCT